TTTTTTTTTTTTTTTTTAAGATTTATTTATTTATGCTTACAGAACTGGGGTTATATGGTGGGTGAGAGAATTCACCAGAGACAGAGTGGGAGCAGAACAGGTAGATCTACTGAAATACATTGCTGAGGGTAGCAGTGGGTGGGTCAGGAGAGGTCTGCCACACCATGTGGGTCAGCTCCCTGCCTGGGGATCAAACTTGTGGTGGAGTGGCTTTGGAGAGCTTTGTAATGTGGTGTTTTAACCCATTGTACCACCAAGTTCAATGTACCACCTCTTGGTGCTTTTTAAAGCAATTCACCTGAAATGCATTTGTATACATTCTCTGATATTTTATAAAATTTGCTCTGCTTACTGAAGCTCTGAATACACCTAGAATTAACTTTCTGCATGGGATACAGTAGGATTATAATGCATTTAATGACATATTAACACTTGTCACTGCTATCATTTAACAGTTGTGTATTAGTTTGTTATTTCTCCAACTAGCCAGGATACATCAAAGTTGACCAGAAGAGAACATTTAATTGGATATCAGAGGAAGAGATTATAGTCCTCAACATGCCACTTACAATGTCTGTTTGAACAGTCTACTTCTCTTCGTCTTAGTTGTCATGCCTATGGTGGTGGATTAATCTAGATGAAGCCATCATCTCTTAACATTATATAACAGTGGTACAGAAGCTTACAAAAAGTTATATTTTTAGCATAAAATGTATTATGTGGCTCATTGATTTATAAACTACCTAGATTCCAAAAAGATTTATTCAAAAAGATTGAAGGAAATAGTTCTTTTTTTTTTTAAGATTTATTTATTTATTTATGCATACAGAACTGGGGTACAGGCCAGAGGTACAGAGGCGGTGAGAGGATTCACCAGAGACAGAGTGGGGAGCAGAGCAGGACAACTAATGAAGTACACTGCTGAGGGAAGCGCAGTGGGCGGGTCAGGAGAGGTCTGCTGCGCCATGTGGGTCACCTCCAGGGCAGGGATCGAACTCATGTTGAAGTGGCTATAGGTTCTTAGTGCTGTGCTTTAACCTGTTGCACCAACAGGGAGGATCTGGAAACAGTTTTTTTAAGCATAACAAAAGTTATATTTTTTTAAGTGAAGAAACAATGGAAAAGGTATTTGATTTTGTAAACTTTAAGAAAGATTCAGACAAAAGCATTTACAAAGAAAACATTTGCTGACAAAGAAATTTTGCAAGAGTTTAATTAATTCCAAAAGAAATGACTTAACAAATTTTTAAAAATACAAGAAGCTTTTTCATAAGGATGATACACTTTTTTTTTTTTAAACATAATATCTGTGAAGGTTGTTTCCTGTTTTCAGACTGGATTAACTAAAGTTCAGTACAAAACCATTTCTATTAGGGGATCAGTTACTTAAGGGAAATTCAGGTTTCATTTACTTTTGAGACTAGAAATAGGGTGACTTTTTTGTTCTTTTAGAGCAGCGGACTGACAGGAAATGTAATACTTCCTTAATGATAGCAAATCAATGGAATTTTTTCTTTCTCAAAACGTAAAAATAAGCAAAAATTAAAGAAGAAATACACATTGGGAAGAATTATGACAAAATTGAAATTAATATACTGAAAAGAAGCTCTTACAGGTCCATAAGATGGTCAACAACAGCACTAATAGTAAAATTGCACTAGCATTACAAAATAGTACTTGATAAAGAAAAAAAAAGACCAGTAAATATCAAAATATTTGGCCTTACTTAGTAATCCAAACTAAAACAACACAATTCTTCCAATTAGAAAAATCTCAATAATAAAATTCACTTCATAGCAGTATTATAAGTTGATGCAATCATTTGTTTTTTGGTTTTTTATATATTTTATAAGGACAGGTTTATTTGGCAATGGAGAAAGAAAAAGATAGTCACCTGCATAGTCTCAGGCAGGCAGGAATGCTGCCTGGTACAACCCTTTGAAGAACAGGTTTTATGCTCTGTTTTATGCCAATTTCACCTGCAGCAGGAATATCAAATATAATTTTCAATGCAACTGACAGAATTCTTGCAGCAGGAATATCAAACTTAAAATTTAGCAGAATTCAGAGTGGAAACACAGGGTATATCTCCTAATAAAGGAAAAGATGAATTAAAAGATTTTGAGGAAGGGTAGCGTTTAGATGAAATTTAAAGAAAGAGTAATTAGCCCAAAACAAAGTCAGCATCACATCCACACTGCATAGTGAACAGAGTGCTGTTTCCTTGAAAACAGTGAAGTGAAAGTAGATGTGTGGCCTTTAAGACCAACTTCTTTCCGAAGTGCCATTGGAGATGCAAGCCAGAGCTGCTTATTTCTATTGAACCTGACTTTGATCTTCAAAGAATAGGGTATTCATTGTTACTAAAATTTCAAATATCTGGAAGTCCTGATAGTCTCTTTATTTTAGAAATAATGTTTCTCATTGATTAAAAAAGTAGTAATCACTCAAATAGCTTATTTTGACACCTTCACCTACAACATATGGTTGAACTGTTTTCTATTAATTTTTATTTTATCTGTATTCTTATCTGGTAAGTAGACAAATAGATTTTTACTTTCTCAGAATTACTTTAAGGAAAAACTTTGCAACTTACAACTGCAAAGATGATTTTTGTGAAAAAAAAATAACAAACTTTTAATTAAATTATGATACCGGTAAGATGAGGCATTATACAACCATTAAAACTTAGTATAGAAAGTGAGTTCTTGGGCTGAAACATGTAAATTTCCTGAAGTGATACAGTTTTATATTGGTGTGGGTATGTATTTTTTGCTATAAAGGAAATACTTAACTGGAATGAGTTTTTCAGCTCAAAGGCAGACTATTTAGTTAATTTTAACTCACTTGTTAGTATTCTGTGATTTTAATCCAATGTCCATTTTCACTTACTGGTCACCTTACCTCTAAGATAAGAGGAGTTATACATTGAAGATACTGTAGGAATTATCCAGTATTGGTACTTTTCTTTAAATCAGGGAAAATCCTTGTGAGGAAAAAATACATTTACTTACTTCTAAAACTCTTATCTGCATGTGAAGTTTAGTTCTAATAAAATCTTCAGTAGTGATACAGTTCTTAAAACGCTTAATATTTCTGCAACACTAACTTTGTTCAACTTATTTTACTGTCTGAGTCTGTAATATAGGCTTGGGAAACTATAGTCTTGTTGGCCAAACCCAGTTCCTCAGACATTTTTATGTAGTCCATATTCTTTTACTTTTCAAAGTTTTTTATTTATACATAGAAGAACAAGGTCACAGGCCAGCGATGCGGGGGTGAGAGAATTCACCAGAGCAGAGCGGATGCAGAACAGGCAGATCTAGTGAAATACACTGCTGAGGGGAGCAGCGGGCGGGTCAGGAGAGGTCTGCCGTGCCATGTGGGTCACCTCTAGGGTTGGCAATTGAACTCATGCTGCAGTGACTGTGGACAGCGTCACAGTGCTGCGCTTTTACCCATTGTGCTACCAGGGAGGGCAGTGTAGCCCATATTTTATGAGCAGTTTTTATACTATAACTAGTTGAAAGAGAGAAAGAGGAAAATTGTACGTTCTATTGTAATATCAAAGTAAATTTTTATTGGAACACTCAACTTTTACTCATATTGTCTATGGTACACTTTTGACAGCTGAAGAGAAAGAAATCTACAAAGCCTGAAATATTTACTACTTGGCCCTTTGCAAAGATACTTGCTGATGTTTGGTACAGATGATTTTGAAAATGAAAAACTGCAACTTATGAATTAGATACTGATTTACAAAACTCTGATTATCAAAAGCAATTGAGGTTAAAGAAGTGAGTTTATGTAATCCAGGACATAAAGAACTTAAGAGGCAGAGTAGTTTTATAGTCATGCCATTTTATTTATCTGTATCTGTTATTCTAGCTTAATGCATAAATACACAGATTTTACTTTCTCAGGATTTATCTTTAAGGGTAAGCTAATCCACATGCCAGGACAGGCTTTAATGTGACTGTTGTATATATATCTTAGATTTGATGAGTTTGATGAAGCAATTGATGAAGCTATAGAAGATGATATCAAAGAAGCTGATGGAGGAGGTATGTGTTTATCATTCTTTTCCATATAACCCTGCCAGTGAATCAGTCAGAATGCCCTTAGATCAGTGAGCATATTTATTTTCCTCCCTGTGTGCTCCCAATCACTCTTAATGTTACCTGTCATAAGATTAAAAATTTTTCGTAGACAGTTTCTATGTACATTCAGATCTTACTAATTTTTTAAAAGATTTATTTATCATAGAAGAATTGGCATATAGGCCAGAGGTGCTGGGGGAAGAGGATTGTGAGAAGATTCACAGGGAGCAGAACAGACAGATCCACTGAAATACACTGCAAAGGAGAGCAGCAGGCCAAGACAGGAGAGGTCTGCTGCACCAATTCTCTGTCAGGGACTAGAACTCAGAGCATGGTAGTGATTGCACAGGGACTTATGCTACAAGGGAGGTCCTTGCTAATTTTTTAATGATTTTTTTAATTGAAGTAACATTTCACTTTGGCACTATATAAATCTCAAGTAGCTTGTTTTATGATCTTATACAAATATTCCTACATATATTTAAAAATAACTTCTAGATCCAAATTGGAAACTTTTCTGTTGTCTTTCTATTTTTAGATCACTGTTGCTACAGAAATCTCAAAATAATGGATAATCAGAATTTACTGATTGTTTTAAATTAATCTTTAAAAATTAGTTTATTTCAGTCTTAGTGACATTAAAATATAATTTGAAGGTACTAAGGACTGTATAACAAATTATTAGGTTTCCAATATGATGCTTTGTGATTTCTATTTGATTATTATAAGAACTCTGGAAAAGATTACTTAAATAGGTTGTAGTGGGACTAAAGCCATCACTAGCTTTCTAGTTGTATGTGCTTATTTACATCTTTGCTGCTGAATTCTCACTTTTTCTGTCCTGCAAACACAGTTTAAAAAAAAAAATGGATTGGCCTCTTTCTAAAGCCATGTCCAAAAGGCAACTTTCAAGAAGAGATTCTTGAGTGACTACTAATAGGTATGAGGTTTCTTTGTAGGGGTAATGAAAATATACTGGAGTCAGTGGTGATGGTTGCACAACTTTGTGACTACACTTAAAACCTCCAAATTACTCCACTTTAACAGGGTGAATATTACGGTATGAATTATATAAAAAAATTTTGTTTCTCCTTCATGGTTAACTTCTATTTAATAGGATAAAGGAATGCAAAGACACTCTTGATAAGAGCTCTTGAACTGAAATAAGAAAACTGCAAATTTGTAGGGAGAATATAAAGTAAATGAAGAACTGTTAAGCACAAATTAGGAAGTCTCCAGATTTTAAAGGAAACTGTTAACATACATAGTTGTTCCCTCTCTCCCCTTCCCCACCACTCTCCCTCCCCAATGCAGGAGTTGGCAGAGGAAAAGATATCTCTACCATCACGGGTCACCGTGGGAAAGACATCTCTACTATTTTGGATGAAGAAAGAAAAGAAAATAAACGGCCCCAAAGGGCAGCTGCTGCTCGCCGGAAGAAACGCCGGCGACTAAATGACCTGGATAGTGACAGCAACCTCGATGAAGAAGAGAGTGAGGATGAATTCAAGATCAGTGATGGGTGCGTGTGGTGAAAATCCATTCCATGATATAAGTGTATATGGGGCTAGCAGAGACACGTGGCCACTGTGTATGGGGTTTTTGTTCTTCCTGCACATAGATGACCTCTTTCATTTTTGGCATACTTTCTTTTTTTCTTTTTAAGATTTATTTACTTATACATACAGAACTGGGACACAGAAATATGGGTAGTGAGAGGATTCATCAGAGACAGTCGGGAGCAGAACAGTTAGATTGACTGAAATACACTGTTGAGGGGAGAAGTGGCTGAGACAGGGGAGGTCTGCTGCACCATGTGGGTCACCTCCCTGGCTGGGGATGAACTCCTGCTGCAGTGGCTTTGGATAACTTCACTTGGTGCTGTGTCACACCACCAAGGAGGGCCCCTAGTTTTGGCATATTTAAAATAAATTCGAGCATGCTTATTTTAGTGTAGAAAATAGGTCTAATCATTGTGTAATATTCAAAATTGTATTTAAATTAACAGCACTTGAGGATTCATTTGAATATTCATAGCATTCACTATGCTTTTCTGCCACCATGTCCATCAGGCGGTTCCAAATTTGAGATATATACCACAAGTACGTAATTAGATACTATTCTCTGGTGAGCAATGAATTTGGGTTGGGGCAATCAATACAGTATATAAGATCAGGAAAGCCTTCCCTACAGAACAGATACTAAACAAGGCTACAGAGGTTTTCTTCTTTGATTGTGGTAGACAAAATAATATAAACCACAAAAATAATCTTTGTGCATGATGACTACTAACATAAATGTGAAGTCTAAAAAAGAGAGATCAGTCCAGGGAAGCCAAAGACAATAGCACAGTGGAATGAACACTTGATCTGAAATTTGAAGACTAAATAATTGGGCAGTTGATGAGTTGGGGGTTAGAAGCTGGATGAGGAGAGAAGACATTGTTAAACACAGAGAAGAAGCAAGGCATAAAGCACAGAACATTAAGAAAACTTTAATGTGCTATAATAGCAAAAACATGCAGAGGTTAAAGATTGCTATCTGGCTAGGGTAGCCACTGCAGCATGAGTTCAATCCCCGGCCGAGTTCAACCCCTGGCCGGCGAGGGAGCTGACCCATGTGACACAGCAGACCTCTCCTGTCTCACCTGCTGCTCCCTTCAGCCGTGTATTTCAGTCAATCTGCCTGTTCTGCTCCATACTCTGTCTCTGGTGAATCCTCCCCACCACATACACACACCTTTGGCCTATACACCAGTTCTTATACACATAAATAAATAAATCTTTAAATAAGTAAATCTTTTTATCTTTAAGAGATAAAAATGGAAGCAGATTATGGAATATTTTGTTTGTCATGCATAGGAATTTGGTCTCTATCTGAAGATGATGAAAACTCTCTGAAAGGTTTTAAACACAATACTAACATATAAGTTCATGATACATCCTAATATTCATTTGGAGGGATTTGTTGAGAGAAATAAATCTAGAGATCTGGGAGACTGACTGAGGAGTTGTTATAGTAGTTTACTTGGGAGATGAGAGCTTGAGCAGAGAAGAGAGGGCAGGTTTGAGGACTTATCATTATAAGAAGGTGACTCAAGAGGAACTAGGAATTGATGAGATGTACAATGAAAAGGGAAAAATTAAGATAAATGGCAACTTTTTGAGTTATTGAATGTGTGATAGTACCAAATGTCAGGCTAGGGAGTAGAAAGTGGGGATTGGTTAGTAAATAATAAGGTGTTTAAGATGCATGGAAGACTTCCCAAGAGGTCAGAGCAACTTCCACACCAAAGTGAACATCAATAGTAAAAGACAAAACCTTTCTCTGTTTCAACAGAGAAATTGATACAAATACCCAGATATATTACATTAATCATTACTTAATGGTTCACTGGGTAGCTTAGAATTTGACCTCAGAAGTCTCACAAATAGGTTCATAGCTGTAATTCATCCTAATTCATCTCATTTCTCTTGGCAGGTCTCAAGATGAGTTTGTTGTATCTGATGAAAACCCAGATGAAAGTGAAGAAGACCCACCTTCTAATGATGATAGTGACACTGACTTCTGTGGCCGGAGACTGAGACGACATCCCTCCCGGCCAATGAGGCAAAGCAGGCGTTTGCGGAGAAAAACCCCCAAAAAAAAGTATTCTGATGATGATGAAGAGGAAGAGTCTGAAGAGAATAGTAGAGACTCTGGTATAAAGAATTTTCATCCATATCACACCAACTCAGATTCCTATGATTCCGGAGTTAAGAGTTCCTAACATTTATGCTCTCTTTGGCAGCACATATAGTAACAATTGAAACCACAAAGTGTTCCTAAAATTCTACTGAATTGTAATAATTTTCTGATGAAAGTTCTTTTCTGATGACTCGTTGTCAACTAAATCTTTCATATAATGTTCATATAAAAACATACATACAGATGGATGCATTAATTTCCTAATAAAATCATTTAGGATTGTGGTGAATTCTTTTGGTGCCAAGTATGTCCGTGCCTAGATGCCTAGACTTTCTCCATAGTATGTTCTATAAATCATGAATTTTAAATAAGCTGACAAATTTTTCTCAAATGTCTAGTATTGAAGAGAAAATAATGGGTCATCATTTATCCCTAACATTTAGACCTCACTCAGTGATTCATTGGTGTTTTTAAAAAGTAGTGGTTGGTGTTACAGTTTTTGCTTATCCCTGTTAACTAAGTAGAGGCATAGCAGCTAAAAGAACAGATTATTTCCTAAGGACAAGGACAATTTCTTTTCATTTTTTTAAACAAGGCTATTTTCTTATATATTACAATTATTAAAATCAGAAATTTTAATTTGATATGATACTTTCATTAATATACTAATATTTTTATAACCAATAATATACAAATTTCATTAGGTGTCTTTTATGTCAATTTTTTTTCCTAAAAAGATCTAGTCCAGAGTTATGATTGCGTTTACTTAAGTCTCTTTAATCTCCTTTAATCTAGGCTACTCCTCAGACTTTGTCTTTTGACTTTGACATGTTTGAAAAACACATGCCATTTATTTTGACAATACCCTGTCTATATCCTTATGATTAGAGTCAGGTTATGCATTTTGGGCAAGATTTATCACTTATATATGTCCTCCAGGTCTCTTTCTTTCACTTTGTAATTAATAAGGTATTTGTAAGAAGATATTTTGAGTGTTTTTCAATTCCTTATCAGATTTTTTCTCCTGTTATTTTGTACATTCATTCCCTGCTAGATTTTCTCACTGCATCATTCCTTTTTTTTTTTTTAATATTTATTTATGCATACAAGAAGTGGAGTAAAAGCCCAGAGGAGCAGCATCATCCCTTCTATACTTATTATTTGGCTTATTTATCTTTTTATATCAGTAGTGTATATTTACAGACTCTTAGTTTAGTCAGTGGGTAGGATAAGCTACCATCATAACTTAGGCTTGATTTGTCCCATATTTGGACAGTGGGACCCCTTCACATTATTGGCTAGCTATTTTGAAATATTTTAAATCTATTAAGGAGCAAGGCTAAATGTGGTCATTCTGTAGAATTTGTTAGCACTCCTGAAAAAGTGGCCTCACACAGTATTATGGTCTGACTCTGATTAATCATAAATGAAAAGGACAGAGCTGTTTTGCAACACCTTAGAGTTAAGTATTCATGTATGCTATGCTTAGCAGATTTTAATGCAATCTGGATAAAAAAGCCTAAAATAGAGCTCAAATTCTATATATTTTTTTGTAACAGGACTGTCAGTTTTCTCTGGTTTGAAAGTTTAACCAGTCAAGTACATTGTGATATTATTATGACTAGTTATACAGCCATGTACACTGTTAAACAGTAGATTAAATGAGTCAGAATATACTGTCCACCAAGAAGAGCAGTTGGTATAGCTGACCACATAGTTCTAGATATGAGTTGCATAAAATATTTTCTAATTTTGAAAACTGATTGCTAATAGAATGTACTTATGTGGTTTGGCACTAAAGATCTCCACAGATTTACTCATGCTGTTAAAAAGGAAGTATGAGACTTATAAAAGTTAGTATTCCTTCAAAAATATTTATGGCTGACTGCTATTTCCTAGCTTTTTATATTTTTATAACCTACCTACGTATTTCTGGTTAATGGACTTAAATTATATACTGCATTTTCCTCTTTTTCTTTTACAGAAAGTGATTTTAGTGACGATTTTAGTGATGATTTTGTAGAAACTCGGAGAAGACGATCAAGAAGAAACCAGAAAAGACAAATTAACTACAAAGAAGATTCAGAAAGTGATGGTTCCCAGAAGAGTTTACGACGTGGTAAAGAAATCAGACGTGTTCATAAGCGCAGGCTTTCTAGTTCAGAGAGTGAAGGTAAGAGAAAAGATCTAATTTTAAAAAGTTTGGACAAGGTAGATGTTATAAAATGAACTCAGGATTAAGACTCTACTGTTTCTTAGAAATTCAGTATAATCTGTAATATCTTTGAGCAAAACCCTTTATTTTATGCCTGGTCATTATTAAAGAAATGATATTTGATACGATAACTAACTTTGAAGTCTTCCATTATTATAATTTCTCATTGAGAGCAAAGAATCTTAGAAATTGGTGATTTGAGCAATATTTCATTTTATTAGTAATGCTCATTTTGAAATAATTTCCTGTGCCCTGAATAGTAACAGTTCCAAACCAAGGTGTTGTCTTTCTAGCTTGACTGTAAACTTCATTGGTAACCTTTAGATTAATAGCCTTAGCTATGTCTCTTATCAGCAGTGCAAGAAAAACTCTAAAATATAAATTTGTAATATCCATTTAGTTTGTAGTTACTACAGAGTTCTAAGGTCATTTTAAATTATGCTGTCCTCTTTCCCCCTTTGTTTCTTATAGTCTCCATTATTTGTGATCTGTTTTGCAAAGTGTTTGCTTTCATAGGTCTTTGTCAATTGAGTTTGAGCCCAGTTCAGAAGAAAAGGATAAACAATGTTTGCGTATGGGAGACTAAAGAATGGAGGTGAACATTTGGTTGGTTGTGCATTTATCTTAAAGACAAATGTAAATTCTTAATGCAGCTATTAAAATCAAATATTCATTGAACTAGCCACTATTCTAGGCCCTAGTAATAGAACAGTGATCAACACAGCCCAAAATTCCCCTGCCCTCTTGTAACTCTTATTTTAATGGGGGGAGAGAAATAATAAAAAAAGATAAAAAGTAGAATATACAATATATTAAGTGGATATGGTGCTGTGGAGAAAAATAAAGGAAGAAGATGGATTGAGGGAGTAGTTGGAATTTTAAAGACGATTCTAAAGGAATGCCTCATTAAGTAAATAGCATTTGAGTTAAACCCTGAGAGAAATGTTGTATGTGAGTCACTGTTACCTTAAAAAGGAACAATACAGTCAAATGGAATAGATGTGAAGGTCTTTAGGCAAGTATTTTATTTATAGTATGTTCAGAGAACACAAGGGAGACTGGGGTGTTTCAGAGGAATGAGTGAGGCAAAGAGAGTAATGTTACATGAAGTGGAGAGATCAGTGGGGCCAGATCGTGTAGAACACTTGTCAGTGAACTGCTATCTGTTTGTGTAAATAAATATTTTGTAAATCAGTTTTTATTGGAACACAGCCACACCTTTTTGTCTTTTTTAATTTAGTCTGTGACTGCTTTCATGCAAAATTGAGTAGATGCAATAGAGTTGTAGGTCCTGCCTTTTACACCCCCGCTCCCCAAAGTGACTAGTGTAACTGAAGAAAGTTTTTGTTTTTAAGTAATTTAAATTATTAAAAACAACCACGTGACTAGTGGCTATGCTATTGGACAACACTGTAGACCATTGTATAGATTGGATTTTATTCTGTGTGAGATGACAAATAATTGAAGGATTTTTTTTTTTAAAGATTTATTTATTGTGCATACAGAACTGGGGTACAGGCCAGAGGCTCAGGGGCAGCAAGAGGCTTCACCAGAGACAGAGTGGGGAGCAGAACACTGACGAAGTACACTGCTGAGGGGAGCAGCGGGTCGGTCAGGAGAGGTCTGCCACGTCATATGGTCACCTCCGGGGCAGGCGGGGATCGAACTCATGCTGAAGTGGCTTTAGCTTCTCAGTGCTGTATTTTAACCCGCTGCGCCACCAGGGAGGGCCATAATTGAAGGATTTTAAGCAAAGAAGTTTCAATTTGCTGTGGTAGCCTGTCTTACAAATAAATTGAAGGAGACCAGGCAGAATCTAGGAGATAACTGGGTAGCTGTCGAAATAGGTCAGATGAGAGAGATAGTTGATTAGACTGGGGCAGTAGCAATAAAGGGGGGTAAGGGCAGAAAGTAGTCAAATTAGGGACCTATTTTTAAGCTAGACCCAGAGGATTTCTTGATGGATTAGAAGTGAGTAGAGGTTAAGAAGGTAGAGGAATTAATGATTAGAAAAATAGCTTCCAGTAACTAAAATGTAGAGAACAGAATGGCACAAATTTAGACAGACTTTTACGAGCTCGGTTCTAGACACATATTGTTTGAGTTACTTGTTTAGAAATCTATTGATGCTGAGTAGGCAGTTTATCCATGAGTCTGTAATTTAGGGGTTACTAAACAAATGTGAGATTCACCAGAATGTAATTGTAATTAAAGCCATGAGGTGAGATTGCTTAAGCTGTAAGTAAGGCTAACAGGGACATTAATAAAATGGGATGCAAGCTCAGTGTTTCAGCTATCCAATGTTGGGTGCTTTTTTTTTTTTAAGGGTCAATAATGGTTTTATTTACAAGGGGAAAGGAAAAGGAACAACCCAGGGAAAGAGAGAGATACAAGTTAACTAGAGCGTCCTACTGGTTCCACTGACTTGGGACCTGAATGACACACTGAAAGCTCATTAAGAGCCAGACCACCAGCTGCCAGCCAGCCACAAGGCCAAGGGAGAGAGAGACCAGCCACGAACCATCAGCCCAAGAGCGGGTGCTGTTTTAATCTTTCCTTTTTAGTATGTTGACTGATTCCCTAATTTAGGACTAGTAAGATTAAATTCACTCATTTAAGGATCATCAGATATGGGCCCTCTATGGTGGCACAGCAGGTTAAAGCACAGCACTAAGGCTCATCATATATGTTTGTATCTGATTCTCCTCATGAGAATCACAGGAAAATATGCTGTGGCTCATACCAGACATTGGTATGAACTGAGAGGAGAGAGGTGAGGCCAGTTTCTCAAATGAAGTACTTATATATGAGCAAGCCTGAAAGCAGGATGTGGGTGAATAGGGGAGAAAAGAAGGAATTAACTCTGTGGTTAACTGTGCCAATGGCATAACTATGCTGTTTATTCTAGAGAGCTATATGTCCAAGAACTCTGAAGATGATGAGCTAGCTAAAGAATCAAAACGGTCAGTTCGAAAGCGGGGTCGAAGCACAGATGAATATTCAGAAGCTGATGAGGAAGAGGAAGAGGAAGGCAAACCTTCCCGAAAACGGCTACATCGGATTGAGACGGACGAGGAGAGTTGTGACAATGCTCATGGAGATGCAGACCAGCCTGCCTGTGACAGCCAGCCCAGGGTCCTGCCCTCAGAACAGGAGAGCACTAAGAAGTCCTATCGGATAGACAGTGATGAGGAAGAAGACTTTGAAAATGTAGGCAAGGTGGGGAGCCCATTGGACTATAGCTTAGTGGACTTACCTTCCACCAATGGACAGAGTCCTGGCAAAGCCATTGAGAACTTGATTGGCAAGCCCACTGAGAAGCCTCAGACCCCCAAGGACAACAGCACAGCCAGTGCAAGCCTGGCCCCCAATGGAACAAGTGGTGGGCAAGAGGCTGGAGCACCAGAAGAGGAGGAAGATGAACTTTTGAGAGTGACTGACCTTGTTGATTATGTCTGTAACAGTGAACAGTTATAAGACTTTTTTTCCATTTTTGTGCTAATTTATTCCACGGTAGCTCTCACACCAGCGGGCCAGTTATTAAAAGCTGTTTTATTTTTCCTAGAAAACTCCACTACAGAATGACTTTTTAGAAGAAAAATTTCAACAAACCCTGAAGTCTTTCTGTGAAGTGACCAGTTTTGAACTTTGAAGATAAATAATTGCTGTAAATTCCTTTAGATTTTCCTTTTTCAAGTTCATGGTCCTTGGTAATTTCATTCATGGAAAAAAAAATCTTATTATAACAACAACAAAGATTTGTATATTTTTGACTTTATATTTCCTGAGCTCTCCTGACTTTGTGAAAAGGGTCGATAAGAATGCATTCCAAATCCGTGAGGGCCCAAAACAGAACTAGGGGTGGGAGAAAGCACTTGTGCTTTAGCTTTTTCATATTAAATATATATTATATTTAAACATTCATGGCATAGATGATTAACAGACTGTTTAAAAATTCAAGTCTGTATTGTTGCAGTTTGAGAATTGTAGATAACATCATACATAAGTCGTGTAGTAATAGAGTTCATGAAATCAACTTGTTTACTATTGGAGATAACCACACTTAATAAAGAAGAGACCGAGAAAGTACTACCAGAAAACTCAAACCTAAGTTTCTGTTCTAGCGGAGTTTCTTGCTTAAAAAAATCATCTGAAAGCATTTGTACAGTAAATGTATAATGAAGCTTTGACAACCAGATTGTGCTAGCAGCAAATTTTTAAAAACAGCTTTATGCAGTAGTGATGTGGTGGCCTCAAATATACTATCATGGAGAGTTATTAGTGAAATGAGTGTGGTCTTTCTTAAGTCCCAGGGGGACTAAACTTTGCAGATAATGTAACTCTTTATCTTCTGGCCACTAAATATTTAAGTATCTAAAATATCATTTTGAAAGAAATGCATCTATACAACATACATGAAGAGAGATGCTGAACTGACGACGATATTTTAGCACATTTGAAGAAGGGGAAAGGATTTTCAGGTGAATTTTAACTGGTCTATTCTTGCCCTTAGTATCTACTTCAAATTGAAGTCTACAAACAAAGCAGTTCCTTTGGGAGGTTTTTAGTTTTGAGTTTTAGCATGTGTGTGTGTGTAAGTCTGTGTGCGCGCGCGCGTGTGTGTGGGTGTGTGTTGGAATTTCCTATCTGCCTGGATATATTAGCAGGGTTTGAATGTAGTTTTGGCCTTTGGCCATTAGACTTCTATTAAAATTCATTAATAGTCATATGACCAACATAGAGTTGAATGAGAACCAATATACTTAGTAGGCATGACATTCATTTCAAACATCTCAACACTTTAAAAAGAAAGATATGCCCTTTATTTCAAGAAAAGAAGTTTGTAACTAAAGAAATACCTAACTCATAATTGACACTAAAATATGAACTTTGTCTTACTTAGTTTCTGTTACAGCTGTAAAATTTCAGGCAGAGCCATAAATAACATTGTACAAAGTGTAGCACTTGTGATTAAACCTTGCCTGTCAAATTCTGAAACCTTCAGCCATTACTTCTGTGAATATGTTAGCCCTGGGATTTGGGTTTTTCTGTTCTGTGTTGTGTCTGTTGCCGGCAATGGACACAACCATATCTGCTGCTGGCCCAAGGAACTTCATTTGTCTTTCTCTCCAAATTAAGCATCATATGTACTAGTCAGTGTATAGTAAAGCACTTGTTTTTTACTACTAAAAAGCTGGCATTAGATTTGCATTATAAATACCTCTCTAGAAATTTTATACTCCTTTTCCTTCTTCAACAGGTGTTGCCCTTAAATCATACCTTTTGGCCTTGAAAATTTATAGCTGTTGTTTTTCAGTTGTTGTTGGTTCTTTTGTTTTTTTGTTTGTTTGTTTGTTTGTTTGACTTTAGTTCTGTAGTACCTGCCCATTAATATTTTTGCTTTGATTCTAGCAATGTATATGTATCTGTATAAAAAATAAAATAATGAAAGCAGCCTAAAAATAGGATGCACCAATAGCATGTGGTTCCAAGCAAGTTGTGATTTTTATTTTGAGACACTTCCTCTGGAAGGGAGGGAAGGGTTTACATTCACAGACAGTAGATTAGGGCTGTGTAAGGAGCCACATTTACCAACCAAAACTCCTTTCTGGGTAGGTTTGACTCATTTATTTGAAAGTTGGTTAAGAATGTTAGTCTTTTTTAACTGTCGAAAATAGGCAAACAATAAAAGGATGCCTGCTATCGCAAGGTAAGTGGTTAGAATGTGTAGTGGCCTGCCCTGCAGTGCAGTCTCCATCCCAGCCTACCTGTTTAGTCTTGGAGCTGGGTAGAGCCACTTCGGGGTAGAAATGCTCATGAACCCTATCTCACTCTCTGGATGCGACACCTGTTCCTGCTTCCACAGATTAGTTCTCAGCTGAGCACATGATAAGAAGTCTTAAGTAGGTAGATTATTTATTTTAACAGGATGCCTGTTGTGAAGTAAGGAATTCTCTTTACTCTGCTATAGAAAGCCAAAGGTAATTTTTATCATAGTAAAGACTGAGTATTCCATTCGGCAAATATCCCATTAACTGAGTTATGAAACCATTTTTGCTGCCTGATCTTTACCAAACTTAAATTTATGTGTTTGTGAATTTGATAGTAAGTGTAGCCGTTTTAACCTTATATTGTGATTAAATCAGTTAACTGTGCTTCACTTACAAAGAGTGCAGTCCAAGCAGCTGAGACATAGACATTACACAAAGAGACCGATTGTGAGTAGTTAAATTTTAAGCAGTTCAAAAACGTCTGTTGCTTGGTGTTTAGATTTGGTCCCTCAAAGACTCCCAAATTTTCAATTCACTGAAAATGTGACTGAATGTGCTTTGAAGTTAAAAAATAAATTAGGAAGGAGTAAATGTTCTTTATCCAAAGACAGTTCAGTCATTAGCAACTAGACAAAGTATAAGAAAGCAGTGATTCATCTGGAGTTTAGAGTATCTTTGAACCTTGTTATTAGAGTACAAACCATGGGTTTAGGTTCACAGTAATTAGTATATAATAGAGTCCCTTAATCCTTTCAACCCCTTTTTTTAAATACCAATATCAAACCCCACGTTTATAGCAGATGTACTTTAGGGGAGATGTAGATTAGTTTCAGAATATTTAGTGTGCAATTTCTGTAAAGATCTGAAAACTAGCCCAGTTTTCATAAAGCAGAAGCTTTGAATTAAAGTGAAATATATGTGAAAAGAACTCAGAAAATAACATTTTGGTTTTGTAGACTTGTGCTGATGAAATAGTGGTTAAGTGTAAGACATTTTCCATTGTTAGCACGTTACTGGAAAATGATGGCAGAGATTTTTTTTGTTCAAGAGTATATCTGATATACTGAGGTGGTCTAACATTTCCTTTTCCAGTTGGTCAAGATTGCGGATTCAGAGGTTAACGAGGAGTTTCATGTAGAATAAATTCATGTCTATCATTTGAAAATGTGACCTGCCAAAGAACCAAGGGCTTTGAATGTTAGAGAATTTGTTGGAAGAAAAGATTTTAAAACATTCATTTTAAAAGGATATTGCAGTTTCTGCTTTTCACTTTTTGGTTGATAAAACTGATCCCATGCTACACCTTTGAGCAAAGTATATTAAGAAAAATGTAGATGTTTACTTGTAATTTAGAGTGAAAATGATGGGGAGATATTAACTATTTTTAAGTGGGATTGATAAAATTTCCTTTGTCACAAGTAATCCCTTTTTATTTTGTGGGTGTAAGAGATGGTAATCATTTACGAAATCAATCACACAACTGAAAAGAAAGCTGATGAATCTACAAGTTTAATATTCAGAAAAACTTAACTCCACCCTTCACAACATACACAGTGGAACAAGTCTGATTCGTGGCACTGCCTCACAGCTATAGAACAAGTATTAAAAACCGTTTTTTTAAATGAAATTAACATATTTATATATGTATGTATGTATGTATGTATAGGTATGTGTGCATACCTTAGATACGAAAGTGAATCCTTTGAAATCATTGATATAAAAGATACAAGGCAAATAATTGTAACAGCTAGGAAATTATGAACAATGAATTACAGAAAATCTAGAGAAAAATACTGAAGTTCCTCTTCTTGGCTTGACAGTCTAAAAAGATATTCCTGCTTTTCCCAAAAAGCAGAATGCCAAGACTGCATATCTGCTATAATCTACATAGTCCTCTACCTACTATCTATTGCTAAACTTCCTTAGAATAAAATCCATTCCTAGTTTATCCACCATTCCCAGTGTGTATGTGTAAACATATCTACCTTGCAAGTGGCAAAGTAACTGCTGATATGCTTCACTGTTTCTGTACTAATCCTGAAAGACAAGGCCCTTTGCTATCAGTGTATTTCAACTGGGTTATTGTGTCCTGTGTACACTTCAAATTTTATTTTGAGGTGTTTCACTTCGATATTACTTAACATTTTTTGAGTGCCAAGAATTGCTATGTAAACACTGCTCAGAGTCATTCCCAAGCGAGCAAGCAAACAGTTGTAAATGTAGTGTGTTTGGTATATAACCACTACAGACTATGCGTAACTTTTTTTAATTCACATAAACTCTCTCAGAAACCATCCCTCCCCACCCCATTTAGTTATGTTAGCTCGCCCTCTTTTTTTTTTTTCATTTTATATTCATACCATTTCACTGTGGGAAATGCTTCAAATCTAATCCTGGCACATTGTAATGATTTCAATTAATGAAGATTATTTTATTTTAGTAACTTTAAGATAATGTCTATCCTATGCATAAATTATATGAAAGGGCATAACAAATTATTAGATGAGTAGAAATTTATTAAGTTCTTCAGACATTATAAATGAGAAAAAGCATTTTTAAAGTAACCACATTTGTGTTTTTTGCCAAACCGGTACAAGCTAGAAAATGCACTAAGGACTGAGTCACCTGCCTTGTTCTTTTTGCCACTGGATGATGTAAGTTAAGAATGGAATTGTTAACTCTATCTATATATTTTCTTGACTTTCATCAGTTTCTAAAAGAAATCTAATTTAAGTGTATTTATTGAGTTCTGGTCATAGGTCAGGAACTGCATGTCATGCTTACGGACGTCCAGAACAGTCATTGGGAAACTTAATGACTTAAGACCTTCTGAATCATTTAACTTATTTTGTATGTTGCAAAAAAATTTATTTTGCTTGAGAGTCACAATTTTTATAACTGTACAGCTTTTAAGGGATGGGAGGTGGAAAAATACCCTAAAATAGGATGTAGATTTTTACAATTGTGTTTATGCTAGAACATCTACAGGTGCACTATGTAATTAAACCTAAAAATGTCTAAAAATCTGTGCCATGGTCTTTTTCATTCTCCTGCCCTTTAGCAGAGTTGGTGCATGTCAAAATTGTTAGATGGACAAGCCTTGAAATAAGGCTAACAACCCTTCTCTCCAAAGCTTTAAGATCATTGCATGAAAGTTATACACACACACACATACACACAACAGATGCATACATACACACTCAGATCTAGTTTTTATTAGTGTAAATGGATTTTCAACTTCAGCTTTAATAACCCAAAGCTGGCATTTAACAAGTATATTCTTAACCGTGTGTGATTTTTGTGATGACTGACTAGGATATTCTTAATGTTGGTCTGGTGTTCTGTTCTTCTTAACCAAAGTAACTTCTTGATAATGATATCTGAATTGTAGCTTGTCCAAACCTGCCAGGAAGTTTTGTATACACCTTGAAAATGAGTGCTCTGTCCTAAGATGGGGGTGAAAATGGGGCTAAGCTTGGTTTCTTTTCAATCTGTTACAAGAGGGAAAAATTAGATTTGCTCAATTAGGTATTTATTCAATAGGCATTTTAATTCCACAGAAACATTTGTCTGTTGGAAGCATAGCAGGAAGAGATGAGATTCAAATTTAAATTCCCTCTTCATTTGATCAAAAGTATTTTAAAATCTTGTAGCGTTGCCAATTCTAAAAGGCTTTTTTTTACAGGGCACATTTTACCACATTAACACACCTTTGTTTAAATGCCAGTACTTTTTAGCATCTGATAATTCTACCATTCTAATTTCTCACTTTTTGTAGCAGAAATGTATTCTTAAAGAATCAAATTCAAGTAAATGTGTCAATTTTTATCTAAGCTACCATTATCTGTTGTCAGCTTATATAAGATGTCATTTTCTCTGCTGTCCTCACCTGTTCATGAATTTCAGGGAATCGTGAATTTCCAGGTGAAGAAAGAAAACAAATTCCATATTAGGGTTTGTAAGTGGCATAAGTTAGGTCTTCATTTTGATTTAATAATAGTAGCTGGGATCCGGGAGTGTTTGATGGAACGCCTCTTGGAATTTCTGACATACTATATGAAATGCTTTATTTTTCCTATGCATAAAAGAATTATTCCTGGAATAGGTGCTCAGAATGCTTTATTTTGTTTCTAAGTGATAAGAGCTAAAACAGAAGCTCCATATTAGCATAAAACAGTTGAGGTAATCAGGAACATGCTGTTAGTCAAATAGCAGGAGCTGGAGTATTTGCTGCCACTTTTAATGCATGCATGAGGGGGAAGAGATTTGAAAACTGGAAATGTGATTTCAATAACTGCACAAACTAATTTTGTGCATTAAAAAAAAATGGGAATTCCTGGTAGCTTAAAGCTTCAGGGGTTAGCTGCAGTGTATGAACACCTAGTGTGTTAGAATCACAGTGCATAGTTGTTTAAAAACAATATTCCTGTAAGTGACAACCAAAATATGTTGTGGCTGGTGCCAATATTTTTGTTAATGAAATGTTCAGTGTCTCACTACAGTCTGATCAGAATTATTGGTGTTATAAGCCAGAGCTAAAGCTATTTTATCGCTCCTGGCCTAATTGTGTAACTTTTTCTTTCAAAATGTTTTATTATAATATTTCTGTCATTTCTTTCACTTAATATATGTCAATTGTCATAATAAAAAATTTAAATAATTTAATGTATTTAGCATGATTTGTCTGCAAACCTAGTTTATTTTAAATTGTCACAGAGAAAGCTAATTACTTAAAGGGTGAACTTTATCACGCAAGATAGATGAATTATTCTATTAGAAATTAAGTTAATCAATTTCTCCCAAGTAATCTTTAAGGCTATTTGCCAACTAGGCTAACGATAGATATTAGGAAGATAGTCTTGATTTCTATCTTTCGCCTTTGGAGAACTAACACATTAAAGAGGCCTTGGATTTATTCTGTGTGACCCTGTGAGAGCACAGAACTACACCAGAGGGAAGAAACCGTAAGGCAAATGCTTTCCATTTATTCTGTGGGAAAAGGTTTGTGTGTGTGTGTGTGTGTGTGTGTGTGTGTGCGTGCGCAAAGTTCTTTAATAATAACCTTGGGATTACTGGGGTTAGTTTGCAGTACCATTTTGCGGAGTATAATAGGCCAATACATTCAAGAAGGGGTTAGGCCAGATGATTTTTT